ATCTGACATTAAGCATATAGTCGGATTATAAGTCGTCTGTATACATAAACATGAAATGGGAGAAGCTGGGGCAGGCGGTTTATACCTGGCCCTTAGCTGCTAGTTGGGCTTTCTTTTTCTCCGCATTATCCTTGAGGATTTGAGCTGCAGAGCGGGCAGGCATCTTATCTTGATGAAGCATGCTTCTGCCGATTTCAGCAAAAAGAACCGTCTGTCTGATCATCAAGGAGACAAGAATTCACAAGTTAGAAACAATAGAGACGGCATAAAATTGCCGGATGCATGTTCTACATATGTCTATCAAACATAGTGCTCAAACCGCAGGCGGACAAGAACGCCTCGTCTCTCAGTCACTCATGTTTGGGTACCCAGTTCTTGGGTACACTTATTAACTCGCCGGATGAGAGGGGGGTGGTTGTAAGTTCAAAGAACCTCGGCTCTATTATTTTCTCATAATACTCATATGGAACCTTTGGGAGAGCACGTTTCTGACCCAATAGATCCGGCTTTTTATTGTAATAGCGATACTCGAAGTTATCTCGCCGTTTGGGGGCAGAAACCAGGTAAAACCTATTCTTCCAGTCAGACCACTTAGACAGTTTGTCTAAGGTCACCAAATAATTGGGGTAGGTGGTCAAGGTGTACCACGCCTTCCAGCCGCCTGGGCTACGACTAAGATAGTGCATATGGGCAAAAGCCTCCCAGCCGGGATGGAGGCCCTGCATCTCACAGGCGGCAATGTAGCCCAGAATGTTAACCCAAGAGTTTGGGGTTAACTGCCACACACCCAGGCCTTATCCTCGTACGATAGCCTTTATTGCATCGTGAAGGGGGAAGAGGAGACTGGCTAGGAAGGCCACCTCATAGCAGCAGAAGTAATTGTTGGCATTCACCTGGTCATCTTTCCAGGTAATGGTACCCATGGCAGGCGGCACCCAGATGTCATAGCCCTCGCCAAGAGGACGTTTTAATTTGAAGTCTGCCAGGCCTTTTTCCATGATTGCCCTGTCTCTAGCAGACACATGGATCCGGAACGGATCCCCCTTGTTGCTCCACTTTTTTTCTCTCTTTTGCCTCACTATCCTCAACCGGCGATAGTGAGCCACTACTGCTCTCCCCAGAGCTAGACCCAGAGGCGGTCTCTTCCCCGTCTCTCTCAGAGACAACTTCATCATCTTCCCCAAAGCCAATACAAAGGCAGCTTCTTCACCGTCTCCCTCTTCTGATTCAAGGATCCCATCACTAGGAGTGCTGGGTGCACCAAGAGGAGATCCTCTCCCCTCTTCAGCCAGAACTTCCTCAGGCGGCATACCTTCTGTGCCTTCTTCCCTATAGTCCGGATCAAGTGTCGTCCACCTCGTCCGAGCCATAGTGTCTTGCACAGACATAGAGACGGTCGGATTTGGAGATGAACAAGGGTGATCCAAACACCCAGAGACGGCACCCCCAGTCCTAGACTCAACCGTACCAGGGGACCGGCTGACTACTGACCTAGGTTGTGCCGTGTGTGCTGATGGTGAATCCATTTGTTGAATGATATGTACACAAACGAAAAAAGTATGAAAGAGCTGAGAAGGGAAGAAACAGTACCTCAAAGATTTGTTTCTGAAAGTGGTGTCAAGCACTGACCGGCTGTAACAGGCGGGCAGAAATCAAGCAGCTGTCTGTGAGATGCACAGACTGTTGACTGGCTATAACAAGCGAGCAGAAATCAAGCAGTTGTTTGTGAGATGCATAGATAGTTGACCGGCTGTAACCAGTTGGGCAAGAAAGGAAATAGTTGTCTGGAAAGTACACGAGCGGTTGTCTGATATTCTCTCTCTAGAACGTTTGACTCTCTCTAGAACGTTTGACTCTCTCTCTAGACTTTTTGAAAATGCCAAAAACGAGGGAGGGTAAAACCCTATTTATAGAAGGGTAAAAATCAGGGGCATCCCCGTATTTTCCCCATAAGGTGAATAGTTAAAACTGTTCACCAATGCCTAAGTGACAAGTGTCACAGGCGCGACATGGCATGCCACGTCACACATGTGAGGGGAAAATGTTTTGGATAAAAGTACCCAGGATACGTGGACCAACCAGAGCGTGACACGTGTCACCCTAGGGAGAGCCCAAAGTGGACCTACTAGGGCTAGACTTGTGGCAGGCAGATACCCCATATGGAATTGGCGGCCTTCAAGGCCCAATTCCCTAGACTGCCCTAATACGACGCAACCCATTAGTCCTAGGTTTCCGTAAACTAGAACAGGGGCACAAATCCCAATGACCCTATAAATAAGGAGATTTACCCCACTTTGGGGATAAAATTCAATTATTGAAAACACTGAATTCTCTCACCTCAGAGAAAACACCTAATCTCGGAATCCGAGAAGATCTCTCTTTACTTTCCGCACCTTTTTACATTTTTCGACCGGTTCAACTTGATCGTCGGAGGCGGAACTCCACCCAACCGGAGTCTCCGTTGTTTTGTAGGTATAAGCTCCCCAGAATCCAGACTTAGTGACGTAACTCTCCCGAGGGACACAGAAAACCCCGAAACAATTATAAATGGATCTTATTTTAAAGAACTTTTTGAAACGAATTTTATGATGAAAATAAAACCGAGTTATAGGATATTTATTAAAAGTTATGATTACTTTTGTATGTATGAAATATTAGAAGTATAATGATAATAAAACTCCATACAACATTTTTATCTTAAAAAATCTATCCAAAAATTGCTTACTTAGCATCATATGTGTCATAATAATACCTATTTGTCGCCTATGTGGCGCGACACTTGGCGAAAAATTAGAATGTCAAGTGTCGTTGTCTCATGGCCTGGTTGCGAGACCGGCTTTATTTATTAATGACTAGTTTTATGCCCGGGTGATGCCCATATTGATGATTAAATTTTAGGATAAACTTTTTACTTGAATGTGAAATATGGTCATCTAATCCCTTTTGATAATGCAGGATATTTAGACTTACAATATCATATAAAAGTGTAATTTTTGTAGTTTTGTTTGTAAGTAGATATCTATGTTGATGCCCGGATTGTTGATAAAATTTTAGGATAAACTTTTTGGCTTGAATGTTCAATAATACAATCATGTAATCTCTATAATACAGAATATTTAGACATACGTATCGTATCGCTTATTTATAGAATAATGTACATTTTGTAGTTTTGTTTGTAAATAGATATCTATGTTATTATGGACTTGAAATTATTGTTATTGAATTTAAATTATTTTTACTGACCGAACTGAAAGTATTTTATCAAACTAATATTTTTTTTACTGATTAAAACTCAATTTATTGATTCTCTAATATTTTTTAAATAAATTAAAAAACAATGTATTTTGTATGCGGCTAACCACACCATCTGGCTGGACAAAGTAACCTCTATTAAATTGATCGAGTAACCCCTGTTATACTAACTGAGTAACCTCTAACACTGACTAAGTAACCCCTATCTATAACATGATTGAGTAACCACTATAACATTGACCAAGTAACCCTTATAGCACTAAAGAAGTAACTCTGATATTGTAATAATTGGTGACACGGTTTGGCCAGCTACGTATAAAAGTTTGTGATTAAAGATATTATAAATAGATCTTATTTTAAAGAACTTTTTAAAATGAATTTGATGATGAAAATAGAATTACGTTATAGGATATTTATTAAAAGTTATGATTAATTTTGTATATATGAAATATTAAAATTTTATTGATAATAAAACTCTAGTAACAATTTTATCTTAAAAAATCTATCCAAAAATCGCTTACTTAGCATCATATGTGTCACAATAATACATATTCATCTCCTACGTGGCGCAACACTTGGCGAAAAACTGGAATGCCAAGTGTCACTGTCTCGTAGTCTGGCTGCGAGACCGACTTTATCTATTAGTGATATGATATATATGTATGTATTATACTTGTTAGGGGACCATCTCAACCAAAAGTTTAAGCTGATGGTTGAAACCCACGATTATGTTTTATACTCTATCACGCCCCTTCACACGAGAGCCCGTTGGGCTTGAAGTGTGGATGCAACATAGGCCCTCCTCATACCCATCTCTTAATATTCCGCTTAAATGTGGGGGTGGATGAGATTCAAACTATGACCTCTATGTCACGTTGGCTCCAATACCGAGTTAAATGGACCAGCTCAACCAATAGTTTAAGGTCTTAAGCTGATGGTTAAGGCCTAGGATTATATTTTATACTCTATTAATACTCATGTGTGATCTAGACCTATCAAAATGATCGGCTAGATTTAGATTTGGATCATTTTTGGGTATTGGCTAAAAATTCTTGATCATGATCCAAAAGTTTATTTATGACTCAATTGATAGGTTAGGAATCATAACCTAAGCCTTTTGGAAGAAAGTCGAGTGCAATTTAGGGTACATTGAGACACATTCACTACAGACCTAGAGTATAATTGGGCATGAAGATCACTTGGGCACATATTCGTCTCTCGATATGATTATGCACAGCCTAATGATCGGATCATATACCCTATATCTTATGCTCTTTCCCTTATTATAACACATCTTTTTAACTATTAATAATATCATCATTAGTTACGTTAGAGGTACTCAAATAAAAATAATAATATACTAAAGATATTCAAAGTATAATGAAACAAATCTGTTAAAAGATACATTTTCAAAGCTAAAAATCACCAAAAATATATGGACTATAGAGGAAGTACTACTATAGAGAGTGTTCGATATAGCAAATCACTAAACTTGGGGTGAATTATGATATGTGTCTAAACACAACTTCGTTCCTTACTATCCAAATATCTTATTTGACACTTTTAAATTATTGGAAATTATGTGACTAATCATCCTAATTATGAAAGAGCCATATATACTAACGAATTCATTTTTGAAGAGAAGTAGACTTCTAAAGAATGAAGTGTTGTTTGGTTGATGAAAAAAAACATTTCTAAAAATTGATATTCTTTTAGCCGACAAATTAATGAAAAGTAAAAATTTCTAGGAATTTCTACTTCCTACAAAATTGAAGAGCTTAATTATCTAGAAAGGCCTAGATAAATGGAAGTTTTTATGGGAATTTCCACTTGATTAACCAAATATTATTTAGAATTTCCTAAGAAATCTAATGACATGAAAAAAAAAAAAAACCAAAGAGTCGAATGTCTACACAAAGTGACACCCTTTCTCTGAGATAAGGACTCGTAAAGAAGCAAGAGAATCAAAAGCAAGTGTAAGTTGTAGTACCAAAAAAATAAAAAAGTACCAAAAAAATAAAACCTTATACAAGTACTAAAATTACGAATATAGCCCCTTTAATATTCGATGAAGCACAAAATTGGGCCTACCTCCACCTTTTTCATTGGCTATCACCATTAACCTTCCTTTTTGGAACATCCCACAAAACCTCTTCACTTCTTTCTCTCTTTCTCCTCTAACAGAAGTAAGTTGAACTTTTGATTTTCCCCCAACTTTTTCTTCCCACTACTAAACCAAAAAAAAAAAAAAAAAAAACACCCATAAAAACGAAAGAAAGAAAGAATCTTGGAATTTCTAGGGTTTTCTTTCTCAAATTCATTTGAAGCCTCATTCAACACCAACAAATTCAAGATTTTGTTCAACTTCACTTGCAAAAATTTAAACAGGTTAGGTTTTTACCCTTTTACTCTGAAAAATTACCCCAAAATTTGAACTGGGTACTATTTTTTCTGTTAAAGAAGTGGTTTTTTACTGTCATTTGAAGTAAAGATTGTATCTTTCTCCTCATTCTAGCCGTTAATCTCACCTGAATTGCTTCCAATTTCTTAGTAAATAAGAAAAATTATGATTTGGGTTTTGTCAGAAATCAAGAATTTGAAAATGGGTTCTTGAGAAAAATTAAAAAAACCCCAAATCTAATGTAATTAAGGGGTATAAACTTGGTTTTGGGTAATGCCCAAATTTTCAAAATGTCATCTTTTTCAAGTAATCTTGACACACCACCGCAAACACCGCCGTCTCTACCACCGCCACCACCATCCTCCTCCGGTGGCGGCAAAATTAGCCCTGCAATATTGTTCATTATAATAATATTAGCAGTAATTTTCTTCATTTCTGGGTTACTTCATTTATTAGTTAGATTTTTTGTAAGACAAAGATCTTCATCATCTTCATCATATTCTCAATCAAATAGATACCCGGAAAATTTTTCGAGTTCTGATGCAGTTCAAAGGCAATTACAGCAGCTTTTCCAGCTTCATGATTCAGGGTTAGACCAAGCATTTATAGATGCACTGCCTGTTTTTCAGTACAAAGAAATTGTGGGTTTAAAAGAGCCATTTGATTGTGCAGTGTGTTTGTGTGAGTTTACTGAACAGGACAAGTTAAGGTTGTTACCATTGTGTAGTCATGCCTTTCATATTGATTGTATAGATACATGGTTGTTGTCGAATTCGACTTGTCCACTTTGTAGGGGTGCTCTGTACACTCCCGGGGTTGTTATTGAAAACCCGGTGTTCGATTTCGATGATTCCAGGGATGAGGAGAAGGGGTTTGAAATTGAGGTTTCTAGTGATAAGAGGAGGGTTTTTCCTGTTAGACTTGGCAAGTTTAAGAGTACAAGTAATAACAACCATCATAGTATCAACAATGAAGAGGTTGTAGAAGTGCAAGATCAACTAAATGTCTTTGAAAGAGGGAAAATTAATGATAGAAATCCGAATGTGGGCGAAACGAGCAGTAGTAATTTGGATGCAAGGAGGTGTTTTTCAATGGGTTCATATCAATATGTTGTTGCTGATTCAGTTTTTCAAGTTGCATTATGTCCAAAAAAATCATCAAATGAAGGCGCTGAAATGAAGATGATCAAGGGTAAAAATGGTAATTTTACTGCTGATCATAACATTGGAGATGCTGAAGCTAGAAAGATAAATATTGGCAGTAAAACTGAGAGTCTTTCAGTTTCAAAGATATGGTTATGGTCTAAAAAGGGTAAATTTACCAATTCTTCAAACACAGAATTTAGTGGTTTTTCTGTTGATAACATGAATTTGCCTTGGACTCATAAAGGTCAAGCTACATGATAATTATGGAGGTATTCCTTACTTTTTTTTTTCTTATTATAAACTTTTTATCATTTTATTTTGACCCCACTTATATACTAAAGTTCTTAGATTAGGCTTTTGCTTTTTCTTTTGTTTTCCTATGTATTTAATTAATTGTCTCTGGGTTTTGCTATCTGATGATGTGAATTATGTTCCTTTTACTCCAACTTTTAGATTAATGGCAGAGTTATCTTTTGATGAAGCTGAATACAGAAGCTTTTTGGGGAAGAAATTGTCATGTTGTCGCAACCCCTTCATAATCGTATGATAATGTAATTCTCTCTGTCTTGGAATTATTTGTCGCATTGTCTTAACTGTTCGTAGTTAAATGATGACTAATTTAATCTAGGAAACGTGATAATTTTTTGGAGACACCGTGAAGTAGTAGTATACGTGACCATTAATTAATCGAGATGCTATTGTGGTATGATCTGAATTGTTCAACTTATGAAGTCATTTAAATTGGAATTCTCTGGACTTATGTGGTTGGAAATTTTATTATAATTGACCAAATCTTATTTACATCAACCACTCGTGAACTATATTTTCAACTAAAAAATGTGATCACAATTAGTTGGCATACTTAAACTAAGCATAATTACTCTGTTTTAAGCTGTTGGAATACTTGGAAGTACAACATTTTTGTAAGATTCCAAGCATAAACAAGTACTTTGTAAAAACTACTTATTTTGTCCTAGGTGTTAGATGCAATGTTTACTGTCATTGGAGGAATGTTAGGTGATTGATTTGGTAATGTAAGATATAGTAGTAGATTATTAAGTTGTAGATAGAGAAGCAATACTTTTCATTTTAATTTTTGGGATGTAGACATGGTTGGAAGACCTGCCCTTGTAATGTTGGGAAGATTACTAGGCTGCCTAAAATCGCGTCATTTGTGATCCTTCCTGATTAGTTGATTACTCCCTTTGTCGGATAATAAAAGTTGCGTACATTATATTAGGATGTTCGGAAAAAAGTTACCTGATAATACCTTTGCCTAGATAAAGATTGAAAAATCAGTCTAGGGTGAGAATGCTCCAGCTACTGTAGGAGGATAATTTAGACATAATAATCTCTTGGTAAGATTGTATCAAATCTTTGATTATGAATTGGGAAAATGTCTCATTTTTTATGGATGAAGGGAGTAAGTATAACACGTCATGTTATCCCCAATAATTGATATTCCTATAATCCTATGTGGTGGTTGAGAATCACATAAATCTGAAAGTTGCTTGTAAAGTTGTAGGTAGGATAAATGGTTAACTAATTCTTGTGGGAAAACCCATTTAACGCCGAAAAAGCCCAAGTGGTTGTTTGATTGACATAGAAATTAGGACATATTACTTCCCTTAGAGATCCCATGAGAATCCGCATAATTATTTGTTTTCGATATCATTTACTTCCAGCTTATGGTAGACAAAAGATCCTTCGCGTAACTTACATGTACTTAATAAGGTTTATCGATTTACTTAGGCTGAAATATGTCAACTTAGGGACTTCTACATGCTTAAATCTTCGACATTTTCCCGTTGTTTTGATCTGAACTAGTTACCAAAGTCCAGATGAAAAGGGCCTGCTAGCAGAAACTGGAAACAGGTTATCCTCAACCAAAAGCAAATGTATGTCTATTTGGTGAATGAAACAAAAATGACTCCCTTCTATACAAGTTAGACTGAGTAGTGTGACAGTTGAAATGGGGTCTAGTGAGTTGTTCTTATGTAACCATTGATTCAGTTGACCTTTGTTTTGACTGTTTTCCATGATTTGCCTCTCCACACTTATTTGAGACATATCTTATCAGTTGGCCTGCCTATTATTTTTTTGTAATAATTTGATTTGGCTTTAGGATTTTCATGAACTGTTGAGTAATGACAAGTTTTTGTGTAATAATAAAGCTCATGTTATTGTTTTGGAGTGAATTCGATTAGATCTTATTTGGGTGATTGATACGATGTATTAGTTATGATGCTCAGACTCTCTTTCTCTACCTTAAGTCCTTAAGTACCTATGTCGGATTACCAAAACTCGATAAGGATATAGACACTTTGATACTTCACTTTGGGTTGAAATCGTAGAATATTTTCACGAAGTAGCTAAGCTAGAAATTTTGACATGTATCCCTGTCTAACATGAGTATCTAAGTCTTTCAATATGGATTCGGATAAGGTCATGTAGTTTCATATTAACTCTAAAACAATGTCTAATAATTTGAAGATGAGTTAGTTTTGTGCTTTTGTCAATTCTAATGTATACTCTCGAAGAAGGGGAAAAAAAAAGTCGTTGAGTCTTCTACATTGAATATGAGCACATCATGGAGCATTGGAGCCTAAATAGGAAAAGCAACAAAGATAGATATCCTAGAAAAATCCAATTTAAGCTACACTAGTTAGGTCCTTTTCAAGGTGGTATTAGGGAAAGGTAATTGACTTAATGACTAGTGTGCACATTGTGCTCTTTAATTTTTTATTTTTATTTTGTTAATAAATTGATTAATTAAAATGAATCTAATAATCCAAAACATAGTACGAAGTAAGAACTTATGAACATATTAACTCATTGAGTGAATCAAGGTTAATGGTTAAATTTCGTATTAAATAAAAAGATACACTTTAAAATTTCAAGGTTGTTGAATATTAATACAGGACCAATTGTCCACGCAACAAATTAATTCTAACTACAAACTGTGTTATTCAAGAAACAGGGGCCAGCTATTTAATTAGCTTAATTATCCGTGATTATTAAGTTACAGGTAACATGGATGGATGTCATTTGATTAGTAGTCAATTAGCTAGGAGTGGTTGGACTATATCATATTGACAAGATTTACGGTAATGTTATAAGATAGGGTTTTAAAGATAATACTCAGTACTCTTATTATATATGGTTGCAACGTTTTATTATCATGTTTGTCAATTCAATTCATACATCAAGACAAATAGTGAATGTAAGATATGAAGCATGTGATTAGTGCAATAATAGAAGTGTTGTAACTAAATAAATACAGTGTTGCCACTCACTTGGTAAGTACCTCAAAATCTCAGATCCTAGAGGTTTGGAGTATGAATCCTACCGAGTGAGACTAATTAGGGGTAATGATTCTCTTACCTTTTCTCTACTCCCAAATGTTTGGTCTGCAAATATTAGACCAATAAAACTGTGATGGTTGAGGTATGGTCAGCTCCTTTCCATTAAAAAAAAAAAAATTGTATAAGAATTACACAGTAAATTTTAAACTATTTAAAAATATTAAAATACATATTTTATCTAAACTTGTCAGTTGTATTCTTAAGTCATGCGCTAGTGCAGTTGCGCCTTCCCTGAGTTTAGCATCGTTGGCTTTTTATCTTGCTTCCAAATGGTTTTGTTTGAAAATTAAGAAAATTAAATATGAACAAGAAAAATAAAAGCTTCATTTTTAAAGAATAAGTTGCCTTTAACTTTTGTGTTCACACGTCATATATATATAAGTAAACATAAAAGTTATGTACAAATTTGTTTGAGTTTGGCCAAAGTAAATCTAATGAATTAATTATAGCACATATGCACTATTTTCATCATTTCATGTCACTAATTGTTTAAAGCTAAGTCACAAGCGAATACCAATTAGCTTAGCATGTTAAAATCTCGATGTGGTAAGGTGTGAGATTGAATTTTGTCTATATCATTGCTCTTGAGGTTTTTTTATGAAAAAAATTTAAAAAATCACGATAATTATAAAAAAAAAAAAAAATCACCATAATTATGGTGCCGAAGACTCTAATTTCACAAGTAAAAGGTTAATGATGAAAGTGTGATATAATTGCAACTTTACAAGCGCACAAATAACAATTGGTTGGTAGGACAAATATAACAAGGCAACAACTTTGATCATAATTATGTGTCCATTTTTTATGGAGGCAATCTTCTTATTAATTAATAAATACCCCTTTATTTCAAATTTACTCTCTCTCTTTTTTTTTTTTTTTTTTTCCCCAATTCACTTATTAGCAATTAATTCTTTGAAATGATGTACGGAGTAATTGTTAATCATAGTTATAGTAAAGTATATTGCCATCTAGTCTAGTTTAAAAGTCAAAGTCATTTTCATTACTAGACCTACATAATTTTGGGCCCAGTAGATTGGCAGGCCTGGGTGGACCAAAAATAGAGCAAGGTTGAAAATTTTGACCATAATGTTTATAATTTATGAACATATATAACTTAAAAATTTATGAACATATATAACTTAAAAATTTATGAACATTATCGTTAAATTCTTAATATTTGAACTATATCTTCACTCCAAATTATGATGTGCATCATAAAATTTTGTATTAATATGACAAAAATACATGCATAATACGAGGTATTTTAAATTTCGCAATCAAGTTTTATTTCAAATTGTGATGAAAACCACATTATTCTCTTTCACGTTACACATTCATGTAAGAGAAAACTAAGCTAAAATAGCCCCATGGTTTTGGCTACAAATGGTGGGAGTAAAGGAAACCGTCTTTCCTTTAAGATCAAACTCCACCTCAAAGTTAACCTGAGCTATATTCCCAAGAATCATAGGATCACCTTCTTCTTCTGAGGGCACAATTCCTAAGCAAACATATTTACTAAATTCTATCATAAAATTCGAGTCTACTAATATAACATCACCCCCATTAAGCTTAAAATCCATCTTAAATGAAATCTTAACCCCTTTCTTTTTCTCAAAGCAAATCTTGAATCCTAGAGGTGGATTGTCGATTGGCTCTTCTGGTATCGCGGCCATCACTAATGCCTCTAGGCGCGAGTAATCACTCTTGTCTAGATATGTTAGAGTTGAACCACTGTCTATGACTATGTCTTTGTTGATCTCGACTTCATCCTGTCCTATGCTTATGGCCTTGAGATTTATCGCGTAGTAAGTAGGATTGTCTTGGGTCACTAAAGGAGTCACAACAGAGCCGGTTTTAGCAGGGTTGTTGCCTAATCTTAGTGTGCTTGTGCTGTTTGAGGTGATCGGGGTTAGGCAGTATGAGAACTTATTTGCGATTGTTGGACCTAGTTGAGAGATCAACGAGAGAGGACCTCCACCAAGGCCTACTAACCCTCCTGCATTCCTGTCGAAACTACCATCCTGCACGATTCCACATCCGAACACACAATTGGTTTTACTCGTGTCTAAGGTGAGTAAGTCTGTCCCCATGATCCCCGCGCTCATGGTTGATCCACTCCCGTATGTATAGAAGTATTCGCATTCAGTGCCCGTGTCATCATCACATTGCATGTTGGGATCATTGTCACAAATCGTTGAGTTACAAGGGAGTGTCTTGTAGGAGCTAGATTTTTGAGGGTCAAACATTGCTGCATTTTGGAAGTAGCAAATGTCACAAGACTCGCATTGGACCCATATAAGGTCACTCCCGGTGTCTGCAATTGCATACATATCCACCGGTGGGCTACCTATCGCGATTTTTATGAGGTAGTCTCCGTCACCTGGGATTATGTTGGTATCAAGATAGTTAGCTACGAGGCTCTTTGTATGGCGGTGATACCTTGAAGCAGAGTGATGTACAAGCCTTTGGACGCGCTCTTCAGCAGTCATAGAAGAGTTGTAGAATGGAGAATTTGGAGAGTACCGATGTACGAGCTCGATAGTGTAGCCATCATTTTGGGTGTTACCTTGATATAGGAACAATAGTGCTAAGAAGATATAGAATAGTAGGGTATGCATGTTGAAAAATGGTAGTGTACAATAAAGGCAGTGTGTTTTACTTAATCTGGCATTTAGATTGCATTATTTATAGAAGCTAAAAAATACTGAATTTATTTAATCTTGTTTGTTAAAAAATTATTTTTAAGGTTGGTGCAACTAATAATCATGTAAATTCAAAAATAGCATAGATTTAGCTAGTAACTAGGAAATTCTTTTGACGTTCCCTAATAGCTGCCTTTCCAAAGCACACACTCTTCCTGTGGAAAATAAAACAAGTTCAATTTTGGTCCATTTTTGGGGCATCATCCTTTTGCCTTTCTAGTTTCTATAGCTGCCTTTCCAAAGCACACACTCTGTCTGGAAATAGTTTGTTTTATATGTCAATGGCCAAACAACCTCATCATAGACTATATATGTCTTGAGCTCAATTCCATGTTTGTGTTTTCATTCAATTTGATCAAATATTGATTTCACAACTTTTATGCTTGATCCTTTACTATATATGTCTGAATTATAAATACTGTATATGTTCATGCCTGAGCTTTGTTGGTTATAACTTATAAGTCTAGGTGACTCTCAACTAATATATTCTTCCTATTTGTATAAACATTTTAGTTAGAGTTCTGTTTGACCTTTCACAATGCAAGACAAACTTTGATCAAAATTTCATTACAAACTGCCTGGTGTTTAAGTTTTCCCTGTATGTGGCAATGATAAATATACTTAGGATAAAGTGGTATTGATTCGTAATTTTGTGAGTTTATCTCATATCAGTATGATGATGCATCCATGGTTATGGAACCCTATCCAATCTCTAAGAAGTTTTTTTCTTCGTAAATTTTCATTACCATACATTACCATTAAAATTACATTTCCGTGAGATATTTGTAATTACATACGGAGTATAATATACACATCTCTGTTATTGTGATTTATTACATCTACCAAACTGGTATAACTAAGATTAGTTGTCCCATATATAAGAGCGGTCACAAATAGAAAAGTGACTATTTTAATAGATGTAGTACGTTACTGAGGATGGTTCCTTAATTGAATTTATATGTAATTGGTCTCTTATACTATGAACTCTACATGTAATGAAACTGAGAGTACAATTTTAACTTGGCATAGAATACAACTTTATTGCATGATACAGTATATTACTCAAGTTAAAGATGGAACGCACACCAACTTCAGTGTCTTTTATGGACACTAACTAACTAGGAACTAGTATGCAACTAAGAAATTTTGATACATAATATAGCAGAAATGATTGTATTATTAACCATAACTCAGCTTACAGGCAGAGGTCGAACACAGCAAAATATTACAATGGATGGTTTTCAACTTTTCATCTAAGCTTAAGATAAAGAAGATAACTTCATAAACTCTCATCTAATTGTATTAGAATAAATTCTTCGCGAAAAGCTATATAGATATGTGGTTTCATCTTTTAAAAACTCCTGATAGGACTTGTGCTTCGCGCTAGCTGCTCTCTTGAGAACAATATTTAGGAGTAAACCTAACTGTCTTGCTTAGCAGATTGAACTCGATCTCAAGGTTGGTCTGAGCCATGTTCCCTAGCACCATAGGATCCCCATCTTTTGGTGACTTAGCAATGGACAAGCAAAGGTAATGGTCAAGTACAAAGAAGATATTGTTTGCCTTTAGTACTAAGTCACCCCCGCTAAGTTGAAAGACTATGTCAGGGGGATTTAAAGCCGATTCATCTGGATCATAGCACAAAACAGGCTCCACCAAAGGATTGTTAGAAACCGGGGATGCCCCTATGGCATCGTTCACCATAGCTTCGAGCTTATAGAAGATGCTCGGATCTATGTAAGTAAGTGTGGTTCCGGTGTCTATGATGATCTCCCTGTTCATGTTCAAGTTCAATTGGCCTACGCTAATTCCATTTAACTCGAGGCTATAAGAGGATGAAGGATCATTGGTAACAAAAGGAGTTGTCAAACCTCCAATTTCTGATGTATCTTCAAGCATACCTCCAAATCTCAACTTACTTGCTCTATGTGAGGAAGGATAAGTTAAGCAGTAGGAGAACTTGTAAGAAATCGAGGGTCCTAGTTGTGAAACAAGCGAAACAGGTCCATTTCCGAGTCCTACAACACCTGCAGAGTTAGAATCGAAAAACCCTGCTTGCTGATACCCACATCCAAATGTTATGGAGGGGAAGGCAGCCTGTTCTTCATCCCCATCGAAAGAACTAAAGGAAAACGTGTCCGTTCCCATGACTCCTCCAGTAATAGTTGTTGCATTGCCATAAGTATACCAATACCTACACAAATTTTCATTTTGGTCACAGTTTATGTGTCCTGTATTAAGGTTAGAGCAATGTTCTGCATCACAAGGAAGGTTCTTGTAGGTTTTAGAAGCTTGAGGATCGAAATTGGTGGTGTTGTGTGGGTAGCAAAGGACACAAGGTCTGCACTGAAACCATGTAAGGTCACTTCCTGTCACTGCAGCCGCGACTAGCTGTACTGGTGGAGTACCAACAGAGATTTGCATGAGGTAGTCTCCCACATTAGGAATTAAATTAGTACTAACTTCTATGTTACTCTGCTGCCATATGATTTGTTGGTGCCTTGAGTTCGAGGAAAGGACTAATCGTTGGAGGAGTTCTTTAGGAGACATGGAGGAGTTGTAGAATGGAGATATTGGAGAGTAGTAACGGTGGAATAAATCAATGGAAAAGCCGTTATTTGTTCGAGTACTAGCTTCAATGAGCCATGGGTGTAGTGTGTTTGTGTAGGACAGTATTGTAAGGAAGTAAATCAGTAAGATAGACATTTTGAAAAGATTAATTCCCAAGGAATGAATATGAAGGATAGGCAACACATGAATTAGGATCTTTTATACGGCTATGATTTTAATCTTATTTCTTAAATTCGGCTACAAACTTGGAAAACTCAGATCCCATTCCTCCAAAGATGGCCATTCTAGAATGCATGCACTTAACATGAATGAGGATGACTACCAATGTTCCGAATTATTCGAGCTACAATTTTATCACATACACTAACTGCTCGATTTTAGAGAGAAATATTTATTAAAAGGAACATTCTCTTTTAATTTACTTCGGATTTATTTGGTTGCAAAGTATGTGAATGTCACATGGTAATGTATTACAGGTTTAAATTAAAGTTTTCTAGAACTCAAGCTTAAGTGCTAAACATATTGTGAGACGATTTTGCATTCGTGTTCTCTAAATTTTAATCTTACCTTATCTTAGGAATTCTTATTCTTATACCCACAAATTAGAACTCATGCTATAGCACAATGATGAGGTCGTCAGGTCAGTGAGCACGAGGCTCAAACCAGGCAATACTGGTCCCATTGGGCCACCTAGTGGATGGGTCAACTGGACCGATATTGGCCCAGCCTGCGCGTTTGTATAGTTTTTTTTTTTTTTTTTTTTAAGTGTTGCCCTCGTATGTAGAATTGTATGCTTGACCGATGGTACAATTTAATACTCTTTCTATTTCATACTTCAGTATTAATTGTAATGTCGGGGTGCAATATAAACTTAGAGAAAATCAAATAATCAATTACCAAATAAAGTATTGACGCAAATAATATGAAACTTACTCAAAAGATAACACATTACAATTATTACGAAGAAGCATGTTATAAATTAAATGTTTTCCGGTTCAATTGAAAATTGATTCAAATATGATCAAGTGTAGCATACATCAAGTAGGTGAACAAAACAAATAAAACTATGTGCTATACATGAAATTAAGAAATCTAGTGCTTGGTACAATCAGTTGGAGCAAAGGAAACCTTTTTAGAATGTAAATCAAAACCAACCTCAAAGTTAACTTGCGCAATATTCCCTAATATAGGGGTACCTTCTGTAGTAGACATCGCTAAACAAATCAAACCTTGATCTTCTAGTGTCCTAAAAGTGTTAATTCCCTTTAACACAACATCAGCCCCTTTGAAATGGAACACCACATCAGGAGTATTAAGGCCTCCACTCGATCCTAATCGCCGTGCATCATAGCAAAGGTCGTAGAATTGTAGTGGATCAGGCACAGGAGTAAGCTTGATCGCGGTGCTCAAAGCAGTCTTGACGTTGTCATAGATGGTTTGTGGCAAGTACGTTAGAGTGGTACCAGAGTCGATGATTATGTCTTGGTTCACAGGGACCGAGGCATTATTACCAATGCTAATGTCATAGAGTGTAAGATAGTAAAATGTTGATTGGAGTCCGGTTACTAAGGGTGTTGTTACGACTTTGGGGCTCGTTACATGAGCCGCCCCAAAGGTTAGTTTGCTTGGCACCCCAGAAGAAAGGGGTGCCAAGCAGTAGGAGAATTTGTAGTTTATGTATGGACCTAGTTGTGAGACTAGGGATAATGAGCCAGTCCCTAGTCCGACGATCCCTTCTCCTTGGATCCCAACTTGGCCTCGCTGATCAAACCCACAACCAAACTTTATGGACGGGTGGCTTGGTGAGGTAGTGTTGTTAGACGAGGGTAAGCTAATGGTTTCGGTGGCTAGGATTCCGACACTTTGTGTGCCATCTCCATATAGTGCCTCATAGTAACACGGCGCTGATGATGATGAGCTCTTGTTGGTGTAATTTGGAAGGCAACCTTGAATAATATGTGGATATTTGCAAGATGGAGACGTACAAGGGATGGGATGATACGTCGAAGATTTCTTAGGTATGAAGGGTGGAGATTTTGAAGGGAGGCATTCGTCACATGGTGAACATTGGACCCATATAAGGTCACTACCAGTGTCTGCCACGGCTGTAAGTTCGACTTTTGGTGTGCCAAGAGCGATTTTTATGAGGTAATCTCCACCATTAGGGATCAAATATGAGGATGGGTACCGGTGAATGTTGTGACCGTGTGAGATTGAGCCTAAAGGCGCTCTTTTTAAGCGTTCTAGGGGTGTAATGGATGAGTTGTAGTAAGGAGAGAGTGGCGAATCACGATGGATGAGATGTAATGTGAATGTGCCATTAGAAGATTGTTGATGTCTAGCTTCAACCAACAGTGAGCTAGGTACTTTTGAGGATGAAGATAATGCTAGTAGAAGTATGAAAATATTGACCAACAAATAATGCATATTGGCTAATGCGAAAGATAGTTTTGACTTTTGAGTTTGAGGTGATGAGTGGATAAGTAATGCCCTTAAGGAAAGGTAGTTTAGTGAGTTGTGACATGTGTGGTGCAAGTGTGCAACCAAGCTTAATGGATTTATGTATTGGCCTATATAAATTACAGGATAGAATAAAGCAAACAAATTTTTTAATGTAATAATATCAACCGATACTATACATTCATCAGAATAATCATAGAAATAGAAGTATTTATAAACCCACACTTTAGTGTAAAGATTATAAAGGGCAAAAAAATATGATAAAAGACTATTAATACTCTTTAGGTCATTAGGTGAACATGACTATGTATAACAACAAATCTTAAACTTATCAAACTATCAATCTCATTTTTAAAAACTATAAAAATCTGGTCTTAATATTTTTTTAAAATCACGAACCGTAAATAATGTAGATGAGATATTATTGAGTTAAAAACGATCACTCTCTAATACGAAATTTAATACGTAGTATATTTCATCGTATGGTCCACTATAAATAGCCACGTGAAATCTCAAAAGCCGGCACTTTATGTACAGCCACCTCGTGTCCCATTATATATCACGGACAAAATTGCAAACCGCAGAAACCACCGCACAAGCAATAACCCCAAGACAGCACTCACTTCCACCAAGCATGTACCACCGCCGCATCAACATTATCTTAATAAAGTTAGTACGTAAATTCCAAGCCCAATTTAAGCCTTGCATAAATAACATTGGAAGTTAATTGGGCTGGCCCAAACGAACAAACCATTTGGGCACCCAAATAAATGCTAAGGATAATATTTTTTTTTTTTTTTTTTTTGACAAATGGATAATAATTTTGAATGGATTTCTGATTATTAAGATCCACTCAATTTAAATTGTATTTAATTAAGGAAAGTGTAAGATAATTTAGATGAAAGGTGAGTGATGGTTGAATTTAGGTGATGTTCCTTTCATCCCAATTTATTTAGGGCCTATTCTATTTACTCTATTTTTACTTATTTCAGGTCTAATAAGTTCAGATAAGTTTAGTTAAGTTCAGATAAGTTCAAATAAGTTTAGATGAGGAAAATTAAATTTTTATAAGAGTTACGCAATTTCAAATTACAACTAAAATAAGCTTTAATAAGGTCTAGTAAGTTTAGATAAATTCAAAAAAAGTTAGATAAAAAAAATTCAGGTGAATAGAACATATTGATATATTGTTGAGTTCAAAATACATGTTTGCCCGATCCACCAAATCAAATGTAGATTATAAAGCGGGTAATGATGGATCAAGTACGTGGAGTGGATGATAATTTTTAAAATAGTTTTTCCATAATAGTTGGTTTATGTATATCATAAATGAACATGTTTTAAAGTATTTTTTAAAACGAATTTTATGATGCAAAAATTACAACTTTATAAGATATGTGTTTAAAATTATAAATTTGAAAATTTTATAAATTTTACGATCTTATAAATTTTATAAATTTACAATTTTACAATTTTATAATTTTTTTTAGTATGGAAAAGATTTAAAATTTATCAAAAAAAAAAACTACATATATTCTTAAAATATTTATTCGATATCTTTTACATGACATCTAACCTGTCAAGTTTATGCACAATTATTGCTTATGTGGCGTGATACTTGGTGAGAAGTTGGAAAGCCTTTACCACTGACTCGTGACCTGATTGCGGGACTTGGCTTTATTAGCTAGATAATACCCGAGCCATGCTCGGTTTTGATGATGGTAATTGAAATTAAATATAGAAGTGTCATAAAAAATGTGATAAAAAAGTCCATCATAATAATAAATAATTACAATAAAAAGTTTCTAGACACATTAATAATTTTGCAAAAATCTAAACGAAAGAATTAGAGTTTAGGAGGGAAAATTCCCTCAAAGAAAAAAACTCTAATATAATTTAGGTATATAAATAAGGATGTTGCTAACGAACGGCCCCAGGGCGTTAGTTAAGCATTTAAAATATTTCTTAAAGTAGTTTTAAATTTAGGAAAACATGTCAAAATCATGCGTCGATCGGTGTAATTATTGTTCATTTTAATTCAATATTTCTTCTTTTAGTTATCTTATCCAACGCCCCCGGGGCGCTCGTTAGCTTTTTCCTATAGGTAAATGGGCTTAACATTTGAGCGAGAAATTTTTTGATGAGGTAGCGTACGTGTATTACTTTGGGAAAAGATAACATCAGTGGTTGTTACTTTAATGTTAGTTATAGATTATAGATGATTAGTGATATGATATATCTGGATTTAATTTTTTTAATCAAGTCTGCTATAAGCATTAATTGATTTACAAGTTTAAAGAAAGTTCAAAAACTAAGCAAAAAACCAAATTAAAAAGTTTATCAAAATCACGATTTCTATCATAAAAAACAAACAACAATTACTGCAACTCTCCAATCTCTATAGCAAATTGCTTAAAGCCGCCTTTGTCTACATTGATGTATCGACTTAACATCTAATGCAACTTATACTAATCTATTGCCGCAAGATACGATCTCATGGGCTCAATAAAATATATAGTGTACGCTGGCTAATCAAAGCCCATACAATTGCATTAATAGACCAATAAAGGGAATAATCCTTCCATCTTGTCAAAAATAGTCCTACGGATTAATGGATTATAATACTTATTTTTTTCGGTTGCTATTAATAAATTTATTTTTCACGTTTGTTAATCAATAATTTTTATATCTTTATCTATATATTTGTAAAATTTATAAATATTTGATTTTAATAAAATAGATATTGAAATTACTTTAACAATATCCTATATGACTGTATATGATTTTCTTTAAATGAAAATCAAGAAACATAATTGAAGTTGATCACTTGAATATTAATCATGAAAAAGTGTTGCATACTTACATGGAAATAATCAAATAAACAAACTAATATACATGGGGTAGGTGGGTGGTAATGGATGTATTATTAATTGTTTGTGGGAGTTAGAACCAATTAAGAATTAGTACATGTGGGATTAGTGAAACATTAAAATAATAGTGGTCTACTAGTCCCAAGCTAGAGTAGGAAGTGTTGTACTCCATAATTAATAAGGGATGAAAGAGGCAAGTGTTGTAAGTATCTTGAAGTAACATGAAATATCTTGAACCAATTTAATGTAGAGTGATAATTTTAATTACTTATTAGGGATTTAGACGCACACGATGTGGTTAGTTGTTTGGAAAGAGGTTTTATAATTGTCCCTAATATCCTATGCCTATTTGCATGGTGATATATTATAATTATTTGCTTATAGACGATAAATGTGTTTTTTTTATTATGTAATTGTGCAGTTTTCAAAACTTTTATAGAGTTAATTTGCATTTATTGAGGAAGCGACAATTTATAAAAATCAAGTTCTAGTAGAAATATAATTATTTTCTATACTTAAAGAAGCTATTAAGAAGAATCAGCTAAACAAGGCATCACACATAAATGGAGAGAGTAAAAATATATGGAATAGCTTTGAATATAATTGAAATGAACACAAATTTTAATTTAAGAATAATCACTCGAATAAGCCTTAATTGAGATTTCAATTTTTTTTTTTTTTTTTTTTTTTTTTTTTTGTATTTTTATTTTGACGTAATAGGAAAATGTAAAAGAGCTTCTCAAGCTTTTAAATGAGGGAAAATATTTAAACAAATATTTTTAAGGATATAGCCATATAGGTGTCTGCACGCTACTTATAAGAACTCACTCGATTTTTTTTTATTTAAAAAACTCACACTTTTAAATTAGGGCAAATATGTAAACAAATATTTGTTAGCGAATACATATTTACACACTATACTTAAAAGGTCTCTCAAACATTTTAAAAGGTAGAGATATATATTATTCTTAAATAAAGAGAATCATATGACTAAACCCTCAAATTTTTTTAATCCAAAACCTATAATTATAATTAAGAGAATTTGATCATGTGACCTTAAATAGACGAGGAGAGTATCCAACCGACAACATTAAGAATCTTTTGACATCGGATACAAACCAATTAACCATGAAGAGCTTGATTGGCAAGTTGCCTTGAGGCCTCATTAACTAAAATTAGTATTTGGTCTTCTCTATTCTTTTTAATTAACAATTTTGTCCCTGCCCTAATCTTCCTATATATATAGGCTTTTGTTACAGTTTAAGTTATAAGCAAAAATTAAAAGATAGTCTCATTATCTCATAGTCTTGTAAGAGAGAAAAATATGGCGTCTACTCCCGGCATCTTTTCTCACTGGCCATGGGAACTTCTTGGTAACTTCAAGGTATTCAACCTCTCTTATGTCTTTGTCATTTGCTATTTATTTGTTTCTCTAACTGTTTTTACAATTACATAATGTATATGTATATTATATATTAAAAGGCGTTTCGAATCAAGTTCACATGCCACGTGACACTCTCCCGACTTTGTTTGTTGGCTATTATTTCATGTCATTACACATTTAAAAATTTAGAAACATGATTTGCACAAGATTTGAACTCTTGATCACAAGGTTAACTAATAGGAATTTAATCATTGAACCATGTTTTAATATGGGTCTTTAATAACAAAAAAATTTATTATATGACATCATATATAATATACAAAAAATCAATAAAAGTAGGATTGAATCATGCATGCATGATGGGCGTTAGAATGGTCGCACATTCCACACTCATTCAAACACATTTATAGGCAAACATCTCACAAACCAAGCACAATAATAAGAGTTTGGTCCACAGGGAACGTGATATAATCGCTAAAGATCTTAATATGCAAGCTAGTTCGAAGACTTATGTTGATTGGGGGTTTGTCAAGTAGACAAACAAACTATTGTTCGAAATCAAATGATTAAAAGCACTAGGGAATGGGATCGACTCAACCATGACAATTAAGCATATTGGGAGTAAAAGAGACAAAAGATAGGAAGGACTATATGTAAGACCAACCTCATGCAATTAGGAAAACAACTCACTCTCCTAAACTTAGATCCCTCATTAGTTTAGCAATAGGAGATACATAATCAAATTGCAATAAGTAATGACATACTTAATCTACATTTCCATGTCAAACTAAGCATAACATGCCATCAAGCTCCAAATTCAAGGGTAGCTAATCCTATCATGAAGACTAACAAACAATCTCATACAATCAATTTAATCACAAATCAAACATAAATACTTCACGAAAGACAAGAGGTTTGAAAGTTTGAGGAGAAAGAGATGTTGAACGTGAAAGCCAAGAAGAATAGGAAAGAGAGAAGGAGGTGTAATTCACGAAATTACGAAAATGCCATTACAATGTTTTTTTTGGATGGTTAGATTTAATTTGATCAATGGTCTAGATTTGTTCTCATATAAATTAGAGTTCTCACATAAGAGATGTGTTATCACATGATCCTATATATATATATTTGTAAAATAGACCTAATTTCAAGTATTTTTTTTTTCAAGACCCACCTAAATTGGCCAATTGGGAATGTGGTTGTTGACCTACTATTCTGACATTGAACTGCCACAACCTTCCTAACCACCCTCCTAACTTAAAGCCACCCCTCATCACTAGGCGAAAAATACAAATGGGCACCGGTTCAAAACCCCCATTTCGCACCGATTTTGAACCGGTCCTTATTTGAGGGATTCCAAAAACCAAAAGATTTTGCACCGGTTCTTACTGTGAACCAGTGCGAAAAATGGCCCAAAAAAATTAAAAAAAAACTTTAAGCACCGGTCCTTACTGTGAACCAGTGCGAAAAGTGGCCTAAAAAATTAAAAAAAAACTTTTAGCACCGGTTCTGCTTGGTTCTGATTGGCGATGATATTTTGTTAGAGGAGTAAGCTTGGCATGATCAGGCCAGAAAGACTCTTTAATCAATAAAAGATTACCTGCAAGAGGGAAAATAATCCAAAGAGGCAAGTATAGGCAATATGACAACCCCTGGACTGCAGATAACCAATAGGCAACAGGTATGACTACCACTAAACAGTAGATGCATAGGGGATTAGGACCAAATATCTGTCCAACAGATTTATTAAACTCAACACCTTAAAAT